TCTTTGTCAAAGATCAGATGTTCATACATGTGTGGGTTAATATCAGGGTTTTCAATTCAATTCCATTGGTCTGCCTGTCTATTTTTGTGCCAATACCAAGCTATTTTCAGGACTATAGCTCTATAATAGAGCTTAAGGTCAGGGATGGTGATGCCTCTGGACGTTGCCTTGTTGAACAGGGTTGTTTTGGCTATCCTGGGTCTTTTGTTTTTCCATACAAATTTGATTATTCTTTCAAGGTCTGTGAAGAATTGTGCTGGTATTTTAATGGGGATTGCATTAAATCTGTAGATTGCTTTTGGCAGGATTGCCATTTTTACTACATTGATCCTACCTATCCAAGAGCATGGGAGATCTTTCCATTTTCTGAGGGCTTCTTTAATTTCTTTCTTTAAAGACTCAAAGTTCTTGCAATACAGGTTTGGTTAGCGTTACCCCAAGGTATTTTATGTTGTTTGTGGCAATTATAAAGGGTGATGTTTCTCTGATTTCTTTCTCAGGCCTTTTATCATCTGTATATAGTAGGGCTACTGATTTTCTTGAGTTGATCGTGTAGCCTGCCACTTTGCTGAAGGTGTTAATTAGCTGTAAGAGTTCCCTGGTAGAGTTCTTTGGGTCATTTATGTAAACTATCATATCATCTGCAAATAGTGAAAGTTTGACCTCTTCCCTTCCAATTTGTATCCCCTTGATTTCCTTTTGTTGTCATATGGCTCTGGCTAGAACTTAAAGTACAATATTGAAAATGTATGGAGAGAGTGGACAGCCTTGTCTTGATCCTGATTTTAGAGGAATCACGTTGAGTTTCTGTCCATTTAGTTTGATGTTGGCTGTTGGTTTGCTGTATATCGCTTTTATTATGTTTAGGTATGTACCTGTTATCCCAGATCTCTCCAAGACCTTTATCATAAAGGGGTGTTGGATTTTGTCACAGGCTTTTTCTGCATCTAGTGAGATGATCATGTGATTTTTGTTTTTCAGCTCGTTTATATGGTGGATTACATTGATGGATTTTCGTATGGTGAACCATCCTTGCATCCCTGGGATGAAACCTACTTGATCGTGGTGAATGATTGTTTTGATGTGTTCTTGGATCCGATTTGCCAGTATTTTATTGAGTATTTTTGTATCAATGTTCATGAGGGATACTGGTCTGAAGTTCTCTTTGTTAGTTGTGTCTTTGTGTGGCTTGGGGATCAAGATTATTGAAGCCTTGTAGAAAGAGTTTGGCAAAGACCCTTCTGCTTCTATTGCATGGAATACTTTGAGAAGAGTTGATATAAGCTGTTCTTTGAATTTCTGGTAGAATTCTGCACTGAGGCCATCTGGACCTGGGCTTTTTTTGGTTGGGAGACTTTTGATGACTGCTTCTATTTCCATAGGGGTTACAGGTCTATTTTAATTGTTTATCTGTTCTTGATTTAATTTTGGCAAGTGATAGCTATCTAGGAAGTCATCCATTTCCTTTAAATTTTTGAATTTTGTGGAGTACAGGTTTTCAAAGTATGACCTGATGATTCTCTGAATGTCCTCAGAGTCCGCTGTTAGGGGCCAGTCTCTCTTAACGAGGTCTGGGCACCTAGGACCTGGATGAAGGACAGGAGCTAGTGCTGCCGGGGTCATTGCAGTGTTGGCTTGTGGGGAGATTCTAGTGTGTTCTCAGGGGCGGGCATGTGTGGGTTCTGGGACTGATGAAAGTATTCAAGAATTACAGGAAAGGTGCTGTGGTTTTGAAATGACAACAAATGAGAGGATCATCGGTTTGTGCTCTTAGAGAAGGCCACAGCTGAGCGGCTCAACCAATTTGAAGGTTCAAGCAGACTGAGTCACTACCTGGTCCTTTTTCTGGCTCTCCCTCCTCCTCGCCAATATGGTAGAGAAAACATCCATATTAGAGAATATGAGTAATTATGAACAAAAATTTAAAAATGCATCTACATTATGGTCCTTTTGATGATGTCAGATAGAAATGAAGAACATGTAATAGACTATATAGAAAAGGGCATCTCGGTGCTGGAGAGATGGCTCAGAGGTTAAGAGCACTGACTGCTCTTCCAGAGGACTTAGTTCAATTCCCAGCAACCACATGGTGGCTCACAACCATCTGTAATGAGATCTGGTGCCCTCTTCTGGCACATGCAGACAGAACACTGTATACATATAAATAAATCTTTAAAAAAAGAAGAAAAGGGCATCTCGGCTCAACTGTTTGAAGCTCCTGCCTCATAAGAGAACAAGCGTTTGCTGTTCCCAGGTTTGGAGGATGGAAGTCTAAGGTTGGGTGACCCCTGTCTGGCTTCTGTCAAGGGTCTTGTCTTAATGTTCTATTACAGTGAAGAGACACCATGACCTGTTGTAGGAATTAGCAGAGTCTCTGTGTCTGGGGTAGACATTAGAATGAATAGTCTTCACGGTATCCAGGGTAAACATTAGAGTGGATAGTTGTTTTCTAGAAGTGCTTTGACTTTGAAGAATCATTGTGGAAAGCAGTGATTATCTTAGGAGATTTGTAGAATTGTTTTTCTGAAGGGTCGTTACAGCCTTTGCACGACTGGTCACAAGAAGCCTCTAGCACAGCTGAGTCAGGGCTGGAGAGGTGGCTCAGTGGTTAAGAGCACTGGCTCCTTTTTCCAGAGGCCCTGAGTTCGATCCCATCAATCAAATGGTGGCTCACAACCATCTGTAATGAAGTCTGGTGCCCTCTTCTGGCTTGCAGGCATTCATGAAGACAGAACATTATATATATAATAAATATTAAAAAAGAAAAAAAAAAGACTAGAGTCATGAGGGCACGTGATGCTTTCCTTTAGAGATACACACAGATTAAGAAACCTTGGTATGATGAAATAATATATATCTAAAGACTTCAATCTCATTCTAATATGGTGCCAACATTTTGAGGGACTAAGCTTTGCGTGATAAAGGTTTTGTTTGTTTTGTTTTGAGACAGAGTTTCTCTATGTACCTTGGTTGGCCTGTACTCAGAGTAGTCTTGAACTCATGGTAATCCTCTTGACTCAGCATAATGCTAGGATTACAGGGTTATACCACCATATCAAACTTGAAACAAAATTTTAAATTGACTATGGAACATATTTGTCCATTAGTTTAAAATACTCCAGAGTCTTTCATTCTTGGAAGAGCAGTTCATTTGATATTTGAACTACTGTAGTAGTTTGGATGTCATTGACCCCCATAATCTCACAAGGAGTGGAACCATTAGGAGGTGTGGCCTTGTTGGAGGAAATGTGTTACTGTGGAGGTGGGCTTGGGGTCTCATATATGCTCAAGATACTGCCCAGTGACTGAGTTGACTTCCTGTTGCCTTAAGATGTAGGACTCTCAGCTACTTCTCCAGCACCATGTCTGCCTGCCTGCTACCATGATGATAATGGACTGAACCTCTGAAGTGTAAGCCTGAATTAAATGTTTTCCTTTATAAGAGTTGCGGTGGTCATCGTGTCTCTTTGCAGCAACAGAAACCCCAAGACAGTTATGAAATAGTTAATAACTTTATTGACATACCGAGGACGGGTGTTTGAGCCTAGCTTGTTGGGGCTGCCGGAACCCAGGCTTTTATCCAGAATTTTCTGGTTAAATGTACAGCCTAGGAAACAGCCAGAGAGGTGACAACTGCTAATTTCTCCATACAAAGATATGATAGTTTGAATGTAATTGGCCCCTATAAGCTCATAGGGTGTGGCACTATTAGGAGGTGTGACCTTGTGGGAATAGGTGTGATCTTTTTGGAGGAGGTGTGTCACTGTGAGAGTAGAATTTGAGGTCTCTTTTACCCAAGCTTCCCTCAGTGTGACTTTCAAATCATCTCCTGTTTCCTTCTGATCAAGATGTAGCCAGTATCGTGTCTGCGTGCACACCACCATGCTCCCTGCCATGATACTGGACGGAACTGTTTTCCTCTAAGAGTTGCTGTGGTTATGGTGTCTCTCCACAGCAATAGAAACCCTAATGAAGACAGATTCACACCTCTCACTGATCACAGCTGGACAGACTTTGGTACCTGCTCCTCTTGCTTAACTCATGGTTGCTCCTCATGGTTCTTAACTATACGTCCTCCCTGTGACCCCCATATATGTATCTTCCCTACACTGCAGTTGTAGCTGCCTCAGAACTCTAGTCACACATGGAGAGAAACAGCCTGTTTCTCAGTCCTGCCCCTACCTCAAAAGCCCCGTGATTGACTCTTAGATTTACTTTTTGGGTCAGACATAGCATGGTCTCATCACCCGTGGCCTTAGGTGTGGGAGGAAAGAGAGTAGCCACAATTGCCCCTTCATTAGAGACAAGGGAAGGTGTCTCTTCTCTCCCAGGAAAACCTGGCCATATCTCTCCCAAGGTTCCCCTGTCCACACCCCTGGGGGGTCTCTGAAACGTAGTTAAGATGGTTAAGGCTATTGAGTGCTGGGATTCTTACTTGTATTTCAGATATGAACTTTTTTCTTGGTTTAGCTTCAATCATTCAGGGGCTAAGAAGCAAGCCCTGTCTATCAGAAGCAAAGGAATGGACTTTGGCAGATCACAGGCCCCCTTCCCCTACCACACTTACACACATAGAGCCAATGAAGAGGAAAGTATTGAAAGCAGAAGTCCGTGCCAATCAAGGGTTATATAATTGCCATCTAGTTTCCAGTCTCACATCCTTGTAAACTAAATAAATGTGTAGCCTTTCCTTCAGGGGGAGTAGAAATAAGTCACAAAGTCACCAGCAACTCCAGGGTTCCAATCTCTACTAAAATGTGCCAGATGTAAGAAGCAAAGCTAAGATGCTCTCTCTCTCTCTCTCTCTCTCTCTCTCTCTCTCTCTCTCTCTCTCTCTCTCTCTCTCTCTCTCTCTCTCTCTCTGTCTCTCTCTCTCTCTGTCTCTCTGACTGTAGTTTGGCTCTCTCAATACTTCCACCCTTAAAATGTAATTCAGGGGAAGGGTCAAGCCTTGGTCAGAAGCACACAATCATAAGGAAATGCAGACAAAGTATACTGAGTTATTTTTTTCCTTCCTTTATTTATAAAGAACACAACTTTGACACAGACAAAAAATGCCAACACACTCCGAAGTCCACTAACAACAGAAACAACAAAATGGGAGAGCGACAGGACCCATTACAGCTGCCTGTGGCCCACACTGAGGGACACTGGGAACAGTGCCTCCAATAGGCCATCCCACCGAAGACACAGGAGACAAGTCTTGAGAACACAGGAGCTCCCACAAGGCTGAAAAGTGACCCGTTTAGTCTTCAGCATCATCAAACTGTCCTGTTTCAAAGACCATCTTAGAATAATGCGGTATCAGTGGAGGTGGATGGTGCCAACTGGGGTCATACATCATGTCTCCTTGTGGGGCACAGCACACCCAGGGTTTAATCTCTTGAGAAATGCTCCCCTGGATGTCATCAGCATCTGCAGACAGTTTCAAAGGACAGATTAAAGCAAGGAGGGAAAGTGAGTTTGGATTGCACAAAAAAAAAATGTCTAAAGAGAAGACTTGCAATTATTTTAATAACAGACACACATGCGTGCGCACGCACACACATACCCCTCCTCTCCTGAGGACACACACAAGGTACTTTGAACAACCCATTTATCCTTCTCAGCGTTCTCGCAAGTGAAAAGGCAAACAAATGGATAGAGAGCACTAATGTCTGCACAGCTCAACGCAAAGCCTTTAGCAGGGAATTTCCTTGTGAAGACAAATTGACACATTGTGGAGTCAGTGGAATTTGTTTTTAATATAAAAAAAGAAGCAGAAATTCCAGACCTGGATCAAAGGTGAAACTGAGCTCACATACGTGATCCTAGTCCCAAACCATGTGTCTGGGGCAGTGTGAGGGAGGGTCTGAGGCACTGGGGCTCGCCCCAGGCACTCCCTACCTACCGTAAGGGTTCCCTTGGTCTGCTCTCAGCTCCAGGTCCCAGTCCTCACTGAAAAGGTCAGCAGCCTGTTCCACGGGTGGACCTTCTGACAGCTCCCAGGCGTACAGCTCCCCATCGGCTTCCTTCTCCTCAGCAAAGCTGTCCTCTTCCAAACTCGGGCCCTCGTCGTGGGCAGGAATGCTCTGGGCTCCACTGGCTATGAAATCAAGAAAAGGAAGTTTTAAAAATTGATAAAATTGAAGGAGTTATGCTTGTAATTTTCTGCTAGCCTTCTAAGAGGGAGTAAAAAAAATGGAGACATTGCTCTTTACCTACTTGAACAGTTACGATATTTAATTTATATTTTAGAAATGAGGTGATCATTTTCTTCCAATAAGATGTTTGTCATAAACAAGACCACTGAGTACGGAGGGCCATGCACAGACAGTGTTTTCAGGTCATTTACAAGTCACTGAACCCAAGGACTCTGGCAAGTGATGCACTTTTAATACTCAAGCCAGGGTCTCACTTTCCTCTTTAAAGCCTATTAATAGCTAGTACAAAGGGAAACAGAGAACAGGGCCCCTCGGGTCCCCATGCTCTTCCTCCTGAACTCAGAAAAGCTTCTCGGAAATGCAACACAGCCTGTGGAAGGACAGTAGACCTCCTGTGGTGATGTCAGGGCTGAGGTAAGGAGTAACTGGCCTGAAATAGCTGTGGTGTTCAGGCTGTCACAACCATCTTATAAAACAACAAACACATCTAAGAGCCTGGAACCTGGAGACAGGTTACCTTAGTTCAGATCTGCTCTGCCAAATACTAACGGTGCCACTGAACTGATTCCTCAATAACTTAAACACAGAATTACCGCATGCACCAGCAATTCCACTCATAACAGTACATCCAGAAGAACTAAAAACAGTTCAAACAAACAAAAAAAAAGTTCCCTGCAACACCATTCACAGTCACCACATGTCATCAGTGGATGAATGGTCAACAAGTGCCGTCTACCCAATGGTGGAACCGGTCACCGGAGTGAGTGATGGGGCTGCCACATGAATAGACCTTGGAAATGTGCTGAGTTGAAAGAAGCCAGACACAAGAGACCAAGCATTGTACAATTCCATTTACTGTACATTCACAGTTGCTTGTTCATAACAGGTAATCATTAGGAGGGGAAAAAGCTGATCAGTAGTTAGGGGCTCAGGGACTAGAGAGTGGAGAGCGTCTACTCACAGATACAGGATTTCCTTTTAGGGTCATGAAAATATTCTACAATTAGTGGTGACAACTGGACAACACTGTCACTGGGCTGAATACCACCAGACTGTACACTTTAATACAGCTAAATGGTAACTTTTTAGTACAAATCTTTTGCCACATTTTAAGACTTGATTGTGTGTCTCATCAGTAAAATAGTAAGCAGGCTGTTAAGCTTATTTAGGGGAAAGGAGACACTGGGGATTGTGCCCGAAATACAGTGAGTACTTAGCATCTCCCAGCTGCTACAATTACACCCATCCCCTGCTTGATCTACGGGCAATTACTTTCTTCCAGGACAGAACAGCACATCACACGTGTCCACTAAGCATGGTAAAAGGGGACTGGATTTCTTATTTATTTAACTATAATTACACAGGGGCTAGTGGCTAGTGCATTATTTATCTTCTCATGCAACCCTAAAACCAACCCTAGGGGTATCATCAGCCCATTTTACAGATGCAGAAAGGCTAAGTGACTTTATTTTTCACTATGGATTTTTTTCATGCAAGTCCGAGGACGATAACCTGGACCTGAAACCATTTTTCCAGGGACATACTCTGTGTGCTTTTCAGTGCCCCGTGTCGTCCCTCCCAGTGAAATGGGGTGGTCTGCAGCTTCCAAATGCAGGGTCCCATGGGAACAATGGCAAAGAGGACTGGCCAGCAAGAACGGGTACCCGAGGCTGTTTACTCTCCACCTCTTCCAGAATCCACCCAGTCTCTGCTGTCTACTTGCCTAGTCGATCCATGGGCATCTCAGGCTCTGTCTCCCGGCCAGAGAGGTCAGCTGCGGCAAAGCCAGCCTGAAGAAGAAGAGATCATTACCAGGAACTCAGGCATCTGGGACATGTCATCACCTTGACGCTCTGAGTCCACCGTCCCACGGTGCCCTTCATACTGCGGGGCCTGCACCTGCTGGTGACGACTCAGCAAGGCTAGAGAGAGCGGGGCCTGTAGACATCACCCCAGCAATGTTTCTCCACCCAGACCACTGGCAAGAGGCCAACTGACAGCTGCCATTTTGCTCTCATCCGGGCCCTCTTCAGAAGTCTGGGTACCAGGACCTCTCCATGATCAGAGACCCTAGAGCCAATCTGGACAGCTTCTGGGTCCCAGGGTTTGCAATTCCAGGTCTGTCTATAAGCCTTTTCCTCTATCATTTTAACAGCTCTAATCATTCTTTTTGCTTGACCAGGAATGGTAGCTGTTTCCTGCACCTGCCACTCCTTTGCAAACCTTCCCCTCTTCAGTTACTTGGCCTCATATCTAACAGCTCCTTTTTTTACATTTTATGTTCACTGGTGTTTGCCTGCATGCGTGTCTGTGTGAGGATGCTGGATCCCCTGGAACTGGAGTCAAAGACAGCTGGGAGCTGGCACGTGGGAGGAGGGAATCAAACATGGCCCTCTGGAAGAGCAGCCGGCACTCCAACTGCTGAGCCATCTCCCCGATTCCTTCCAGTGGTGTCTCCCGAGTGCTATGTGGGAAACCAGAGTTAGTTCCTACACAGTGAAAGGAACACTTAAATCCCCACTGCCAACCATGACTTCACAGTCCCCCAAACTTTATTGTCCTCAAGATCTCTCTCCAATGAAACCAGTTAATGTCCATAGCTTGAATGATTCGGCCGGATTTCAATGAGCCCTGCCATGCACTCAGGGTGTGACCCCTGGAAACTGGGGGGTGGTTATTCTGACCTTGCAGGGATCCTATGTTAACAGAACATATATGAAAACACCTAATCAGACTGGAGATGTAGCTCAGTTGGTAGTGTTTGCTTAGTATGCTCAAAGCCCCAGGCTGATTTTCCAGCACTACATAAAAGCAAGCATGGTGTCACATACTAGTAATCTCAGCGTTTGGGGAGTGGGGGATCAGAAGGTTCAAGGTCCTTCTTGGTCACAGAGTGAGCTCCTGGGCTACATGAGACCCTGCCTCCAAAGGCAACAACAACAACAAAACCACCTTTAGATTGCAGAAAACGTTTCTTTGACTTAAGTTCATTTTATTTTTTAAAAGTTTTTATTTATTTACATATTTACTTACATACATTTGCTGTGTGAATGTAGGCAGAGGAGGTGTTGGAGCCCTTGGAGAGGGAGGTGGCTCTGAGCCACCTATTGTGGGTGCTGGGAACCAAACCATCGCCATGTCTCCAGTCTTACACGACCTTTTCATCACATTCCTACCTGTACTTAGCACACGGCCTAGTTAGCATTCATTATCCAGTCATGCTGGCCCTTTAATGATTCAATTCCACCTCCTTGGTCAGTGATGAACCATAACCACAATTCACTGCTGTCCCCCAAGGTGTTGGAGCAAAAGGCTGCAATGCAGCCTTTTCCTATGACCCTAGAGCTTGGGCCCTGGGGCAGGCCTTGTACCGGAAGAGATATACTATGTTCAAGCAAGTCGGTGAACGTGAGAGGCAACATCGCTCCATTTCTGACCTCCAGGCCTTTGGAGGGCCACCGCCCTCTCTAACAAAATTAATGCCCTCCTCCTCTGCAAAACTAATTTCCTTTGCGAATCTCTTGCTAGCGCTGCTGCAAGTTCCTTCTTGGATGCTCAAGCAAGCATTCCATTCATGCACCCAATTAGCATATACGTTGTGTCAGGCACAAGGGATGCCTTCTGGTAAACAGAAAGCCTACAGTCAAGCTCGCTGTAGAGGTGGACGCTGACTAAGGGCGAGTCATAGGAAAAAGCTGTATCGCACCCACTTGAAAAAGAAGTTTCTGGAAACCCCGTATCACCAGGGGCCTTTCCGTTTCATCAAATGGGAAAAAGAACCGGTGACATCTAACGTCCAAGGTCAGCTGCACATCCCCACCAACGGCCAGAGGTCCTCAAGGTTAAAAAAAAAATCCGTTTCCTCGCCGCTCCCACCTGACCCGGCCCCCAGCTCCACCTTCCCTCCATTCCTGCCGCAGAGGCTCCGGAGCAGCCTCGGTTTCCCTCTCTCTCCCTCCAGTGCCCGCTACAACCCGGGGTCCCCGCGCCCTCCTGCCGTTACCGGCCAGGCTCTGCGCGTGCTTGGGGTGGAGAGGGGGGAGACGGCGTTTCCCGGGTGAGCGGCCTTCCCGCAGCGCGCGAGCCCCGCGGCTTCCAGCCCGGGGGGTCGCAGGCGCCCGCGCCCCCCACCCCGTGGCGCTCACCTCCGCGCTGGGGACCTGCCTCGCACTCGGCTCGCCGGACCCCTGACCGGTGGCCTCCTGAGGGTCCATGCCCCGCCGCCCACAGCTAGGCGACCGGGGACGCTCCGGCACGTGACGGCCGCCAGGCTGCAGAGGGGCCAATCGGCGCGGCGCTGCCACCGAGGGGGCGGGGCGGCGCAGGGGCAGCGGCGCCGGACGACACGCCCACCTGCGTCCTGCGGGGACCACAGGCTCCCGAGCTCTTTCTGACAGCCCTGGTTTAGAGCCTTAGGGCGAGCTGGGCACTGTGCCTTCCCCGTCGCACTATTAAACGACCAGAGTCCACCCGATAGCTTAGAAAGCCCATCACTTTTCACTCCACCCCATCACAAGGTGTTCCAGATTTCAGGCTGCACCTGGACCACAGCATCCAATAATGAGTAAAATAACTCAGCAGCCTGGAGACTTGTCAACTTGGCTTAATGATCGCTTTTGAAGTCAACGTGCTACCCAGAAACGTTCTGGGTTTGTGTTATAGAACTTGGAAGCCACAACCTGTGCTCCAAGTAAGTAATGTGACTACGTTGCGTAAGTCTCCATTTCCTTCTTCCCACGATTAGTTTGACTGAACCTGACTTGGGGCTCAGATGGTGACCTCCGAGTTCAATATCAGTTGGGCAGTAGAAGTTGATCAAATCTCCATCCTTCAACGGGTAATGTCTCCAATCTAGTTATTTCCCCATTGCCTCGGAGACATAAGTCAGCAGCTAGCTGCAGGCAGAGTGTACATGAGTGTATGTACGTTTGTATGGATGTATGGCTGGCTGGCTAGATCTGAATGACCTAGCTCTCCCCGAACGGCCTAAACTCCAGCAACAAACTAGTTGGAGGCATGGTTATCAGGAAAGCTGGGATTCCTTGCTCATCAAGTCACCTTAAATAGTATGTTGACATAAGGCATTAAGCATCTTTTTTATTCAGGTAAAAACTGATTCATAATATGTTGTTCTTTTTTCTTTACATAGTCTTTCCTATAGAGGATGGAGGATGTCCAGTTTATGTGTGTTCTGTTCCTTTGTCATTTCTTCAACTCTTAACAGACTCCCAAGTCAGCACTGCCCAGGGAATCTTCTGCAATGGTAGAAATTAAAGCTCTTGATCTATGCTGTCACTATGGTAACCATGTGTTTACTGAACATTTAAAATATGGTCAATGTGAAAATAAACACAATTATTTAATTTCAGATATAAATTAATGAATGTGGCCATCACAACTAATTTTAACTATGAATTGGTTATGTATTTTTATAATATGCAATAGGGAGGACTGTATACAGCAATACAATAACCCAAGTGTGGCCCGAGGTCACGATAGGGTGTCTCTCTTAGTCACTCTTCTATTGCTGTGAAGAGACACCATGGCCACGGCAACTCTTACAAAAGAAAGCACTTAATTTGGGCTTGCTTACAGTTTTGGAGGTTCACTCCCTTACCGTCATGGCAGGAAGCATGGCGACAAGCATGAAAAGCATGGTACTGGAGTAGTTGACAGCTACCTTCTGATCTGCAAGCAGAGAGAGAGAGACACTGGGCCTAGCACCTGACTTTAGAAACCTCAACGCCCACCCCCAGTGACACACCTCCTCCAGCAAGGCCACACGCCTAACCTTTCTAATCCTATCAAAGAATTCCCCTTCTTGGTGACTGAACATTCAAATACGTAACCCAGTGGGACCACATTATTTAAATCAGCTCGGGTCTTCATTGCTCTCCACCTTTAACTTGAGTTAGCATCTCTCACTAAACCTGCAATTCATTGATTAGGCAAGACTAATTGTCTCAGGGGTCCTCCAGTCTCCATTTCTCCAACTCTCTGTTATAAGACTTTTTGCTGGTGATCCAAACTCAGGTCCTCATTCTTGTATGCTAAGCATTTACTTACTGAGCCATCTCCTAGCCATCATCATCTCACTGGCCATCATCATCTCCTAGTCATCATCATCTCCCTAGTCATCATCATCTCCCTAGTCATCATCATCTCCCAACCATCATCATCTCCCAACCATCATCATCTCCCTAGTCATCATCATCTCCCTAGTCATCATCATCTCCCTAGTCATCATCATCTCCTAGTTATCATCATCTCCCTAGTCATCATCATCTCCCAACCATCATCATCTCCCTAGCTATCATCATCTCCTAGTCATCATCATCTCCTAATCATCATCATCTCCCAACCATCATCATCTCCTAGCCATCATCATCTCCTAGTCATCATCATCTCCCTAGTCATCATCATCTCCTGGCCATCATCATCTCCTAGTCATCATCATCTCCCTAGTCATCATCATCTCCTAGTCATCATCATCTCCCTAGTCATCATCATCTCCCAACCATCATCATCTCCCTAGCCATCATCATCTCCTAGTCATCATCATCTCCCAACCATCATCATCTCCCTAGTCATCATCATCTCCCAGCCATCATCATCTCCTAGTCATCATCATCTCCCTAGTCATCATCATCTCCTGGCCATCATCATCTCCCAACCATCATCATCTCCCAGCCATCATCATCTCCCAACCATCATCATCTCCCAGCCATCATCATCTCCCAACCATCATCATCTCCTAGTCATCATCATCTCCCTAGTCATCATCATCTCCTGGCCATCATCATCTCCTAGTCATCATCATCTCCCTAGTCATCATCATCTCCCTAGTCATCATCATCTCCCAGCCATCATCATCTCCTAGTCATCATCATCTCCCTAGTCATCATCATCTCCTAATCATCATCATCTCCCTAACCATCATTATCTCCCAGCCATCATCATCTCCCAACCATCATCATCTCCCAGCCATCATCATCTCCCTAGTTATCATCTCCCATTTAACATTCTGGAATAGTTTCCTTCCACTAATACAAAAACTATAATAATGCCTTAAGGCATAGAACAATGGTTCTCAACCTATGGGTCATAGCTTCTAGGAAACCTCTAGCTCCAAAAAAAATTTACATTATTATTCATAACAGTAGAAAATTACAGTTAGGAAGTAGCATCAAAAATAATTTAATGGTTGGGGGGTCACCACAACATGAGGAACTGTATTAAAGGGGTGCAGTATTAGGAAGGTTGAGAACCACTGGTTTAGAACTATTTTTTTATTAAAGTTTGGGTTTGTGATCATTTGTGGATGCAAGTGAAAATAATATTATATTAGTAAATGTAAGCTATTTAAGTAGACCAGGAAGTTTGACATAATTTAGTAAATTATTAGAAGCAGGAAGTAAATTCAAATCTTGACCCTCAAAGCCATCATCACTTAATATTAGATGCCACTCTAGGATGCTCTCTCAAAAAGACAAGCACGTCCTAAAGAGAACAAAATGCAAATGGATCAGCTTACATATGTGTGGTTTTAGGTGTTCAGTATTCTCAAAATTATGGCTGTCCAGGATCTCTTGAGTCTCAGCTATAGCATTGGCTGAGTCTTTGAGCAATGCAGTCCCAGCTTTCGCCATCTCTGTAGCATCCCCAGAGAAGTCACAGTGTAGCTTGTGCATATGTATGTGTGTGGATATGTGGATATGTTTGTGAACATATATATTCATGTATGTGTATATGCTTATATTTATGTGTGTGCAATTCATATATTTATGTGTGTGTACATGAGAACATTTATGTGTATACTTGTGTGTATTTATGTCTATATGCATACATTTGTGTGTATACTGTATATTTATGTGTGCACATATACATATATATTTATGCATGAGCACGTGTTCACATCTACGTTTGTATATGACATGGATGTGTTTATGTGTACACATGTATATTTATATGTGCTTATGTGTATATTCATGTGTGTACATGTGTACATTCATGTGTATATGTGTATATTCATGTTGTACATGTCTATAATTCTGTGGGTGTATACGCATATATATGTTTGTGAGTGAATATTTGTGTTTATGTGTGTGCACATATGTATATTTGCTTCTGTACACATATATGTATATTTGTGCATACATGTGGGTGTTTATATGTACATGTATATATCTATGTGTGCATACATGTTTATATTTATGTGTGTACATGTGTATACCTACATATATTTATTATGTGTGTGTACATGTATGTTTAACTGTGCATATATATGCTTTTTGTTTACATGCATATATACTATGTGTATGTGTGTATTTATATGTGTGTACAATTATATACATGTGTATACATGTATAAGCTTATGTGTGCAAAGGTTAAGTGTGGGTATTTACATGTTTATGTTTATGTGTGCATATATGTATATTTATGCACTTATGCATATTTATGTGTATGCATATGTACATTTTTGTGGGTGTCTTAGAGTCTCTTTTGCTGTGATGAAACACCATGACCAAAACTAACTCGAGGAAAGGCTTTATACGGCTCACACTTCAACATTGCAGTTTATCATTGAAGGAAGTCAGGATCCTGGAGGCAGGAGCTGATGCAGAGGCTGTGGAGGGAAAACACTTACTGGCTTGCTCCCCATGGCTTGCTCAGCCACCTTCTTATAGAACCCAGGATCAGCAGCCCAGGGATGGCACTACCCACCATAGGCCCCCTCCCACGCTGATTACTAAATGAGAATGCCTTGCAGCTGGATCTCGTGGAAACAATTCCTCATCTGAGACTCCTTCCTCTGAAGACTATGCTCCTGTCAAGTCCACACAGGAAACCGCATGGTACAGTGAGTTAACACGTATAGATTTAAAATTCTAATCCTAACTTTATCCTCCAAACCTAATTTAAACCCTAATCCAGAACCCTAACATAAACCCTGATCCCTTACTCTAACCCTAACCACAACCCTTACACTAACCCTAAACCTAATCTTCACTTTAACCTTAATTGTGTCTAACCCTAACTCTAGTGCTAACTCTAACCCACTGTAACCCTAATCCCTAGCCTAACCCTAACCTCTAACCCTAACCCACTGTAATCCTAACCCCTAGCCTAACCCTAATCCCAAACTCTAATCCTAACTCTAATTCTAATTCCAACCCCCAGTAGAGTACAACTTTCCAGAATTATCTGCATTTTAGCTTTTCTGTCTTTTCATTGCTTGGCGTGCTTCTTCATCTTTGTGATGGACAATACTTCATCTCATCTAGGTGAACCATACTTTGGTCATTCCTAACTACGAGATGTCTCCATTGCTTCCCTATTTCAGCCATTCTGATTAATACTCCTGTAATCAACCTTTGTTTTCTGTGTAGATATTAGCTTGCAACTTGTTTACATAAGTAGCAAGGATATGATTGCTAGGATCTTATGGTAAGAATTTGGCAAAAAAAAAATAGGGACAGAGCTGAAACATCAAGGTTAATTTATAAATCTAGTTTTTAAAGTAAGTCGGCACACCTTCTGTCTTACCCGGCTTCGTCTATCAAACAGCTCATGGGTAGGGGATGGCATAGGAACTTATGAATGGAACAGGAGAGGAGGCTATAAAGTTCGTTTGAGAGGATCTACACCGCATGGTTCTGTGCTCCAGGGGCTCTTCCACGGCTCACTGGCCAACTTCCATTCCTGGGAGTGCCTTCCTTGTCTTAATAAGTGTCTCTGTTTCTGCTCTGAGCATGTATTCCTGATGCAGTCCCTTTCTCAAAGGCCCACTTAATTTAGATTCTTAGCTTAGCACTTCTAAGCATCCCTGGGAACGGGGACCCCCTCCCCATGGGAACGGGGACCCCTCCCCACACTCCACAAAAAGATTCCTGGAGATTCAGGAGCTTATTCTCCAACTTTGTAAATCAGGCATCAGACCACAATGGTGGACACACCAATTGAGCATAGAGATCCGTATTTACAACCGCTAATACAGGCCCCTTCTTTTTCCTTGTTGGCTGAGTAAAGAGGCAGGTACGATCTTACATGCACTTAAGTGTATCTACTTCTCAACAACCTCTAAAAATGAACTGTCCTATTTCATTTCTTGCAACATCTTTCCCCTGACACTCTATAGTCTAGCTATCTGACCATTTATGTCAAAAGGCCACCATGCTTTGTTCTTCCGTATTGGGGCATTTAAACAGCAAATAGACAGTTCACCAGTAGGGGAACAAGCTCTATTCATAACTATCACAGGAAGCATATCTCCAAAGGGAGGACTAGTAGGTGGGTTTCTTTCTACTCTTGTCTGTTGCTGTATTGCTTGTCTGTCAGAGTGGTGGGCTACTGTTCTCTAACTGCCTGAATATCTCTTCTGATGTCTTCTGCACTCAAGCGAGTTCTGCTTAAGGATAGCTCTCCAATGATCGCAATAGCTGATTATTGTGAAGCTAGCAGCTTCTGCCAGCCACTCTGGCGGCAAATTCATTGTGTAAAGTGCTAATTTTAGTGCCATCTTGTGTGTGGCTGGAGATCTTTTCTCGTAGGAGATGTTTCGGACCACTGGCACCTCTGACAACAGATTCGTGTTAGGCTCCTCCACAACAGAGCACAGACGTGTCTAATTTTACTCCAGGAACCGCTCCAGTCTTCCAGTCCCAGAACTGCAAGGTAATACATACAGTGCTTTAAGCAATACAGTTCACTGGGGCTATTACAGCGGCCACAGGAAACCAACAACACATCGCTCAGGGGACTTCTTTTCCTTCCTGACTTCTTATCGTGATTACATTAACTTACTGATTTGTACATGAGACAATAGGTTCAACTATGAAGAGATATCTGATATCTGCTGACCCTCTAAACAGTTAAATCCAAGTACATTTCTAAGTAATGCCCAACACTAAACCATTCAACTTAAGACAAATGATTAATTATAAAATATATATATTTTTTCTCCAAGACTTTAGATAAAGTGTAAGAATTGCAATCCAATTTTATATCAAAACCATAGAAACAGGCTCAAACTTTGCTTCTTCACAGCTTCAGGGAGGAAGCAGAAAGGGTACCATAGCCATGTGAGGACAACAGAGCTGAAGCCTCCAACAGTGTGGTTTGCTGGTTTGGTCACACTGGGTTCTGCCATCTAAGCCTGCACCTTATAGTCAGTCATCTTTGTCCTGTAGCTTCTCTAAGAAATAAAATTGTTTCTGAAAACACATTTCCTGGAGACTTAAAGACTAATGCTGTGAGCAGAGAGCTCTGAGCTGTTTGACAAGAGCTGTGGCCCGTAAGCCTAGCCGTCAGTAGCTAATGCTGGCAACCACAAATCGATGCCATGTTTTGGCTGTCGCTTCTGATTTCCTGCAGCTTTAAGAAGGTCTGCGGCAGCACACGCCTTTAGTCCCATCACTCAGGAGGCAGAGGCAGGCGAATCTCTGTGAGCTCAAGGCCAGCCTGGTCTACAGAGCTAGTGCTGGGACAGGCTCCAAAGCCACAAAGAAACCCTGTCTTGAAAAAACAAGCCAACCAAACAAAAGAAGGTCCTCGGACAGAGGGTGACGTGCCTTCAACTTGTAAGCTAGCATGCATGGCTCATCCCTGTTTGATTCTTCAACAGTCAGTCACTAGCAGGCTTGATGGAAATCTGGCTCTGGCGTCGATCCATTTTGGTTGAATGTGCACCACAATTCAAATGTCAGCCCAGAGCTTCTCCTTTGGTGGAACAATGCTGTTCACCAGAAAGCCAGCTAAGTACTTCCTGCTTCCTAGACTAGCTAAGGAAAGAACTCACCTATGTTTGTGTCTGCCTACATAAAGCTACAGAGTGCTAAGATGTACTGGTGTTGAATAAAATAAAAACACCCAAACATTAATGAACTAATTTTGCCTTCTTGGTGAGGGCTTACATTCCACACTCTCTGATTCTTCTTGTAGTTTTTTGTGGTAAATGGAAGGAAAGCCCCATCACGTTCTGTGAAGAGGGAGGACCCCCCCCCATGGCACCAGACTCAGTTCTTAACTGGGGCTGCTTCCTGCAGGAATTGTTCAGAGCCCCAAAGACTGCATTGCACAAAGTCTGAAGACACAGAGAAGGACACCCACCCTTGCCGCGTTTCCTTCTGCCCAGATTGGAAGGAGGAACAAGCAGCACAGGGAAAGCCATTGTCTGGGGCACCTGGAAGGTAAACCCCACCCCCAATGCATGCTGACTGTGTGGGAGGGTAGATGGCACCCTGACACTCACCATAATAAAAATGCCACAGTCCTATTCCCCAGGGCAGCTGCCTTCCTTATATGGAGTGTGCGTGGAAGGGACAGAGATCTCCCTTCTGACCAGAGATTAAATTGCTCGTTATACATTATGCACATTGTCCAGGTGACAGCCATAAAAAAAGAACCAGAGTTCACACTTGGCATGCAAATTCACTCCATCTCCACTCAGTGTCAATAGGGAAATGATGTCACCTGTTCCCAACAGTGTCCCTGGCTTGCTCCCTCATTACCCCGATGCTGCTTCCGCTTGAGTTCTCTTACAAGGACTAGCCCCCAACAGTTCCATTTCTGTCCTACGTTTGTATTTTGTCCCTTTTATACATCACCTTAACTTGAATGTTGGGTTCCCGCCAAGAGTACTGCTCCTAAAAAGGCAGAGTTCAACGTGTGGCCCAGATCTCTTTGTATTCCTTTTGACAGAATAAGGAGCCTTCCTGTTGCTCACACATCCATTGGTGCTATGTCCTGATCTCATTGGCACAAGCACACGCAATTTCACTGAACTGTGTTCACCTCCTTTTGCGGGAGGTAGAAGGACAAAGGTGACATCAAAACCAAAGCCACGAGATACCACACCTGGGCCAGAGTTGGAGGACCGGCAGAAAGCTGTTTGCTATGTTTCAACATCGTTCTGCCCTAGAGCTGTTCCATCTTTCTCAATAAAAACACTGCCTAAAGCACACGACCATTTCCCTGTTTCCACAATGGAAGACCTTTTGGAAGCTGGTTGTGGGTCAGCACACAGGGACAGTCCATGCTTAGCTGCTGCGGAGAGTGGGCAGGCGTTACGTGCAGCATGTGCTGCACCTACACTTCCTTGCTCTGGAAAGTCATGTGTCCTACATGCCATGTGCGATGGCTAATCTGCTTGCCAATCTGCTTGCATTTAGAATTACTGGGCACATCTATACCGACTTCTCCTGGAAGGTTTAGCTCAGGAGGGAAGACACGCTCTGAATGCAGGTGTCACTAATTCCCAGCTGTGGTCCTGGCCTAAGGAGGACATGAGCTGAGCAATGGGAGTTCTCTTGGCTTCTTGATTGTAGGCACAATGTGAGCTGCTTCACATTCCTGCTGCCACGAGTTCCCCCATCACGATGGACCATAATGCCCTCTCAAACTGTGACCCCCAAATAACCCCCACTCCCTTAAGTTGCTTTGCCAGATGTCATGTCACAGCACTAAGAAAGTTAGCTAGTACAGTGTCCAAAGCATTGTGATTTTTGTCCTTGGTGTGTACTGGCACCATCCTGGCCAGGCTCTAGAACTGGTTGACTCCTAGAGTGAACCTCATTCACTCCAAGTGCATGTTGCTTAGTTACCCTCCCAGCCGCTACTAGTTTTGTGTGGAGTGTAAAATTAAAGACTAAGATGGAGTGTGGATTTCAGGAAGGTTGGAGCTCAGCTGTGGCTGTGGGTTAGGGTATGCTGATCCCATCAACTGTTGACAGCCTCAGAAAATAGCTTCACCTCTAATTCCTAAGGTGAGGGCAGGGACAGGGATCAAATCTTTCCTGGATGGGCAGGTAATGGTGGCACACACCTTTAATCCCAGCACTTGGGAGCCAGAGGTAGGTGGGTCTTTGTAAGTTCCAGGAACTCACATAGCAACATAGACCAGCCTGCTCTACAAAGTGGGTTCCAGAATGGTCAGAACTGTTACACAGAGAAGCCTTGTCCATAAACAACAAACATCTTTTTTGGATGAGCTATTGTCCAAACCCCATTTTCCTTTCTTCAATTTTATTTAGTTTTATAATTTATTTTAATTTTATGTGCATTGGTGCTTTGTCTGCATGTGTGTCTGTGTGAAAGTGTCAAATCTTGGACTTACAGACAGGTGTGAACTGTCACGTGAATGCTGGGAACTGAATCCAGAACTTCTGGAAGAACAGTTAGTGGTCTTCACTTTTGAGGCAACTTTCCAGTCCCAGATTTTTATTTTTAATTGTGTGTGTGTGTGTGTGTGTGTGTGTGTGTGTGTGTGTGTGTGTGTATCTTTGTGAGGGTATGTTCATATGAGTGCAGGTGCCCACAGAGGATTTTGAATCCCCTGGAGGTGTAGTTAATAGGTATTGTTCACTGTCTGAAGTGGCTGCTGGGAACCGAACTTGGATTCTTTGCAAGAGCAATGTGCACTCTTAACCAATGCACCATCTCTCCAGCCACTTTTTGATTTCTTGGTTGTTCAGACACTGGAAGAGACTTTATGAACTTAAAAGGAGGCAAGTATGAACCAGACATGACGGTGCACACCTGAAATCCTAGCACTCTGGAGACTAAGGCAGGAGGGATTAAGTGGAGGACAGCCTCGGGAGACTCTGTCTTAATTCAACGACAAAATTAAAAAGATGAAACGAGACAAGAAAAGACTGCTCTCACACCGGCTTCCACTGGAAGCTCAGCTTTTGTCCACTGCAGTCCACCAGCCCGAGTTTTCCTCCATGACGGAATAGGTAGCGGCACAGGAAGACGTGTCACTTGTAATAGTAGGAATGACAACAAGCTGTGACCCCCTCCTTTAAATGCCCTTTCAATGTCCATTGGCTTGGACAGCTCAATTGCCCTTCAGCCAAAGGAGAAACATCTGTACAAAGAATTTTATTTATTTTCCCTAGATTTAAATATAGATGTGCTGTTCCCTCTGTGGACCTCCAAGGCATAATAGTAGCTGAGTATTTTCTATCTCTGCAATTTTCTTTTAGCAAGGCAAGGTCATATCTGGAAATATCCGTCTTCCTTCTTGTTTTTGTCTTCTGCTTCTAACCACACGATGTGGCTCTCACTGTGAAGACAGTAGCCACCCCACAATGAGACTTAGACTCTTTAGAGAAATGAAAAGCAATGGGAAAGGGGTAATGTCTCATTTCCTAAGCTTCCCAGCCAGGAATCAACTGGAGGAAGCAAACCAATGCCCAAAGACGCAGCAGGTCAGGCTTTGTCCATATATGGTGCTCCCTGGTCCACTTCCTCATCACACCCAACTCATTCTCTTGGGTCTTGAACTTTGGCATTTCCATTAAGTCCCCTCCCAGTAAGTGAGGCATAGGGCCTCTCCCACTGCTCAGGTGAAACTGCAGCATTCTGAAGCCAGTCCTGATACCAAAAAATGCCTATCTGGAGTTCAGGTGGAGAAAATCAATCTTTCTTTCTCTTCACACTTCTTTGTCTTTTAACATCATGGGGATACTCACAGATAATCCTCACATTCATGTGGAGCCATCATATTGTATGTCTACCCATTCCAAAGTGACCATCAGAAGACCCTAAGATATGGTCTCACTGCTCTGCACAGTTTCCTCTTAGGCAGTTAGGGAACAAAGTATATTGTAACATCAGTGCCCTGAGCAGACTGAGTAATAATCCTTTTTTTCTCCTTAAGTATGAGTAAGTATGGTTTAACTTGTCAAAGTCATGTGGGAATACAAAGCAAGAAACTGAAGATGTCTAATAGCTAAACCTCGGCAGATAAGTGTACTTCCTCATGGCTGGAGGGAACTGCCACCCCAGACAGTAGCCAATCAGATATGCAAGTGTTTAGATGCATTAAGCACAAAAACCAGGCAGTCATTTTCTGCTCCTGTTGTCAGCGTGGCTCCCTCCAGTTCAAAGGATCTTATGCTCCTTGTTTTATTGCTTGTACCTCAAGGCAATACAGTAATAAGATAAGTGCATCACCACGGAAACAATCAGAAATAAAGCTGGTGAACACTGACACCATATTTGATGTGACCTTGAAATCCAGACGTGTTGCTGGCCCATCAGAAACAGGTGTGTTGTTTATATGGGATTTCAAGTTGGTATCATTAGCTAAACATCTCTCAAGAATCCCAGTATGGGGCACATGAAATGTGGGCCTCCCTGTCCCATGCCAAGGTGCCAGAGTCATGCTGGTGGTTTATTTCTGCCACAGTATTAATGCATGTAAAGACTCCATTAAATTTGCTATGCTCTGAGTTCCAGAGAGGAAACAAAACAAGGCTATTCCCTGAGTCCAGACGGTACAACATCCGAGGGCAAGATGTACACCTGCCTGTGTACAAAAACAAGGCCAAGAAAGATGGTTGCAAAGTCACCCTCAGGATACACAGGTCCTTAGCTTACCACCACCCACGCCCTGGGAGGCATGAACACCAAGGCATCTGTGCCAAGCAACAGGCTTCTTGTTACCATCCTGAACCATCAATGTGGACAGGGATATCAACAATCAGGTTAAGTTTTCCCAGCTTCTTGACAACTGTCAGATTGGGATTTCTTGGAAGAAAGTAAAGAAACACGGTATGTTTTTTCCTGGTCTAAGTTTGTTAAGCAAATTGAATGCCCCAAGTCTCTGCTGCTCACTCTGACCTCATGCCTTCAGTCAGCCAAGGTCACCTTTCCCAGCTGCCACCGGTTTAGAGAGGATGTTCCCGTTTCTATGAGTGGCTTCCCTTCTTTCACAGGTTAAACATTTAGCACATTGGTCAATACACAGAAGAGGAATTTGTTGCATGATTTTTCCTGGAGATATGTAACCAAATACCCGTTCACCCTAGTTGTGACACTGGCATCAGACCAAAGAAATTGTTTCACTCACATTTAGCTCAGTGAGCCAGTGAGTTGATTTACTGGGGTAACTTGCAGGAGCATGGGTGACACAGAGCCACTACACCCCGAAAGACTCACACCAGCATGGCTGACAATTCATCTCTGGAGCCCTGACGCTGCTTCTGTTTATTTTAACTCTTGGGTAGGTAGGGGTTTTGTGAATCTTCTCTTGAGGACTTCCACAACCCTTTAAGTTTCCTTTGCCTCTGGCTGTTAGGTGCTGTATTCTTTTTTCCAGGAGGGAAGTTTTCAATTCAGAGGAAATAGCTAGGCTACAGAACATATTCAACAGACTTTTAAAATAGTCTTTTAATTTCCTTTTGTGTTTGTGTATGTGAATATGGGCATCTGCAAGTTAAAGTGTACAAAGATCAACTTTTGGGAACCGGGCTCTCTGCCCGTCAATCCCAGGATTCCAAAACTGAACTCAGGTCATCAGACTTGCAAAGCAAGCAGTTACCAGCTGAGCCATCCTGCTGGCTCTAAACTCAGTTTAAACAGACCGCATTAGACAGTCTTGCCTGATCATAGGTTTATATGTGTTCTGAGAGTGTTTATGATAACCTAGGTATAACATAACTTATGTTGCTATTGGGTTTATTAATGCATTTTTGCTTAGTATTTCCACCTTGCCTGGCTTATCAGGATAAACCCCATTGGAAGTTGAGCAGTTGTATTTTATTGCCTCCGTTTTGGCAGTATCTTGACCTGGTAACATCAACAAAAACTCCATACAGTCTGAATTATGGCTATCCTTTGCTTGTAAATACACCGCCACAATTTCAATAACCAAAAACACAGAGCCATTCGGCATGGCTTAGAAGTGAGAGCCAGGTGCCTGAAACAGGTGTGGACAGAATAATGCCAACTTCCCCCCATAACTGCTCTATTGTTTGTAAAAGGGTGTAATGAAAAAACAGTATCGGAATAAGCACATCGGAAATGACTCAAAAGTATTTTCCAAATCTGAATGAATACCTACACCACTCGAAAGTGTAAAAAAAGACTAAAACAGAACATGATGTGTGCTTACCACACACCGGGCACCTTTAAATATTTTGCACTTGTTTACTCGGGTCAGAACCATTCCTCATT